CCCCAAAACCCCAAAACCCCAAAACCCCAAAACCCCATTTCAAGGAATCAAAATTGAAAGATACTCTTAGTGGATATTTAATCACCTTCGAGATGGTGTTATTTCAGAAATTTGTCATTTTTTAGCGGGTTATTAGTTAGAATATTTTGTCTCTAAGCATTTTATCTAACTTTTTGTTCATAATCTTAAGATCCTGATTTAAGGACAAATTTTTCAGCACATTTCCTTGCCGTCTTTGCTCTAAAAACCTTCTTTCCTTCTCTCGACTACATATCACCCAAAATACCATTACTAAAACCTCTCCTTCTGCTCATACTCTGGATTAACCTTCTGCCTCTCTTCTTTATCCTTCATCCACAGACCCCCACCTGTCTCAGCCTTGACATCTCCGAACCTATCAGGCTCCAGTGGGACTCTCTTCTACAAAATTTATAACTTCTCTACTAAAACCTTACCTTTTGGTTCCGTTTCCGGTCAAGTTCTTTTAAAATCTCCTCTTTACGTTTCAAGTCTTTGTAATTTTTAGCAACGAAATCTGAACTTGCTACTTTATGATCCTCGTCAAAGCCATATCTGGGGTCGTCACTTCAGAAGGATTCGGTGTCTTTTAGGTTTTGAGAGACTAGAAGAAAGATTTTAAAGAGGCTTTTGGGCTTATGGGAGATTTGGAGGAATTAGTGTAGAAGGGAGAAGAGGATTTGGATTTACCGAGTTTATTCAGGTAGATATCTTCCTTCTGATGGGGCTTAATAGGTGTCGCTATATTTTTCTTGGCTATAAGTTGAATGGGAATGTACTCCTTTGAGATCTCAACTAAATCCATGCTCATGTAGCTATTGAGCTTCTTGCCTTGCTTCTGTGCTATGGATGTATTTGGAATAAACTTGGCCATCTCAATCTCGTTCTTCAGCATATACTCCTCAGTGGGGGTCAAATGAAATGGATTTGCAAGACGTCTCATATGTGGATTTTTGTATTTTTTAAAAGAAATCTTGGATTACCTTGTTATTTTACCACCTAGAACATTTATATTAAGCCTAAACAAGGAGAGATTTCATTCACAGGGATCTAATAATGACTAAATTAGCTATCTCTCAACTTGGAAAGCTTTTAAAGAATGACTGATATTATATGAAATGTCTCAAATTGGTAGAATATTAATAGTTCTATCTTATTCATGGATGATATGTAAGGCTACAAACCTTTCTCTTATTATGAAGTTTGTTCTGGTGTTTAAACTCCTTAATATTTCTCTTCCCGTATTCCTCAAGCGTTTTAGGTCTATTATCCATCATTCTCGCTGCTTTGAAGTGAGGAGCAGGGCTCTTTAAGGACTTTTTGAGATTAGCTTGGGAAAGAGTTTTAGATTTTTTCAAACAAGTTATGAACTCACATCTTCTATTTTCGAGATCCCTCACGAGACTTATTTTCTTGTCTGACTGATCTGAAAGTGTCACCATCTAAGGCTTGGCTTAAGGAGAATCTTCTATGATTCGTCTCATGAATCTTGGAATTTGATTGAAATTCTTTCTTGTTTCTTTCAGATAGAATAGTAATTATCTTCTCTGAATGTATGAGCTTCATAACTTCACTCTTCTTCTTACAGTTTAAAATCATCTCTTTTCAGCCTGGAAATTTTGGTATACCTAAGCAATGACATTTAATTTGGTTTAGGGCAATTTTATAACTGGCTTACTTCCTGGCTTTTTGAGAGTTCTCAAACTATTTTGATACACCACTCACAGTGCAGCAAAATTTAGGTATTGAAGCTCCATTTCCTTTGACAAGTCTTTGAACTCCTTTATCACTGATGTAATAATACTTCCCTGTGTCTAGGTTTCTCCTAGAATAATGTCAGGAAAATCTCTTGTACAAGGATGCATTAAAATAAAGGAATGAGGTTTCTCTTACCATAATTGTGAATTTCTTTGAGTCTTATTCGCTTGCTCCATTTCTTCAATCTTATAATTATACACAGGGGTTTTGGGGTTTTGGGGTTTTGGGGTTTTGGGG